ACTTATTATATTGGTTTAGTTTACTTTCATTTCAACGAAATTCTCTAACTCGTTTTCAATTCCAATAATTACAGAGTTGCAGTAGTTACAATGAAAACCGTAAATGGCTTGTAATAATTAAAAAATGAGAACATCCACGAAAACGTATATGTGGCAAATATGTTTCCATTGCAGCTTCATAATCGAATTAAAAAAGATGCATTTAAAATTTATAGTAAAAGCTTTATTTTTTCGATACCATCATCAGAGTCACAACTCAAATATAGACCTGATATTTTTTTTACATAATTTATGTCGTCATTCCTATGGTGGTTCAATTTAAATTTAATTTTCGCTATGTTTTAATCAACAAAAATATCACTAGAAAGTTAGCAGCAAGCAAGAAAGTTCGTAAAGTCTGATTTGGGAGATTTTATTTCCCATAAAAAGAGGAAACTCAAAAGGCTTGAGAATTTGTGTTGTACGTAAAACTGCATAGCCAATGGCTCTTTTTTATATAACCAAAGAAAAAAGGCCCACAATCGACTTCAAAGTTCATAGAAATAAAGAATTAGATTTTTGGAACTTTTTCAAGTCCGAAAAGTGAGACGAAAAGTCTTCGTTGATATGTTTTTTTACTTAAAAGATTAGAAAAATATTATTTTCAAGTGAATTACGTAAATCGTTAAAATCCTTAAGGTTTTTCGAGAATAAGACCATTTCGTTTTTAGGGAGCCGCGCCTATTTTGAAGTCATTTTTTCTTAATATATATATAATTCCACAGTACTCCAAGAAGTAGTATGTTATTAGCTCATTTAAATTCATTATTCTCATAGCACTTCTAAAAAAAGAAAATTTAATTATTTTGCGTTTTCTTTTTTGTTGGGGATGGTAATTTTTTTTAATTAAATTTAGTCATATGCCAGTGCTCAAATTTTGAAATTTAATTGGGTCAACGCGTAGCTTGGGTTTCGCGCTGCCGATAAAACCAAAATACTACATAATTTTTGTAAAAATGTCGAGAGCGGGGACCTTGAATGAGTAAATATAGCAATTTAGCGAAAACGCGATAAAACCTAATCGCGTAAAAGTTTTTTTTTTTCGACTACATTGTAAGCCGGGTTTGTGGCGCCTCCGATATATTTAAAATCTGCGTTCGCCGCGACGCATTTTTTTGCTGTTCGATTTGAAGCGTGCGGCAGTTATTTTAATGGGGCGCCCCTTTCAAATGACAAGCGAAAATCGTATTTTCGCGGCCTTGGCCACCTAGCGGTCGCAATGACAATAATTAAAATAACTGCGACTATTTATAGACCTTTTTTTATGTCCACGCGGCCTGTTGGTGGCGTGCATATGGGGGTCCATCAGATGTGTGAATGTGTCCGATGTACACTTTTTTTGTCATTAGTTTTATGAAAAAGTTATTCTCCATAAAAAGTTTCGCGCGGTCTGATTCCAAAAATATCTATTTAGTACGTCTTTCAACCGATTAAACAACAGTCAGGGAAATAGTTGAAACCCTTTCAGTCTCTCTGAATGGAAAAAAAAATAGTAATGAAGATGACCACGTAAGCGGTGTTGAAACATTTACTGAATAATAGATTTTTGGTTAACTCACTTAACTCGTTTTTCCCTGAATATTTAATAAGGATCTTGACTTATTTCGGCAAAATGCTGCAAAAAAATTTCACAGCCATACTAAATATTGTCGAATTGACGAACTGTCTGTCAACAGTTATGATTTTTTAAATGACTTGTTGACGCATAGCGAAAAAACCCTTACGTACTTAGCAACTTTTTTTAAAAATGTTTTTATTAAATAAAAATTACAAAATACCATTTGCTTTCTGACTAAAATCAGTTATTTGTTACCTTTGGCCTCGAGACTTTACGTTGACTGGGGCTAAGCTTTAACTAATTTTTTTGTAATAATTTTTAAGGGATGTTCGATATTTTTTGAATATTTTATCAAAAAGCGGATAACAATTCGTAAATCTAAGACTTAATCTATTAAAATGTTAAATGCTAAATGAAGAGGATTATTTATGTGACATAAAAAATTTAACCTAATGGTTGTCATATCGCTGTTTCGGAAAAACTTGACAGTATATTTTTGACAAAAACCTGCACTAATGAATTCAAAAAAAGTATATTCAGATTTAGATTTATCACGAGACAAGGCGGATAACCAATTAGCATTATTACGACAGATGAAATCATAAATATAAATCGATAGGGATTTTTTCAAGCGACGATTCTAATAGATGTTAATTTTTTACCTCCCTCCTAAAAAGTTGACTGATTTAGTAGTTATGTCGATGTTCATCCGGACGGAGTTCTGTAAACTTTTCCGTACATCTATAGCAAAATTGAAAGTAAAAACGTTTTATAGACTTTTTACTCCCTACTGTAAAATAACCAATTATGCACCGGAATTTGTTACTTTCAGACGTCAAATTCACTGTCTTGAGTCACTTAGGGTGTTTCCGGTAGACGGTATTTTGACGTTTGTCAGTTCTGAAGCTCCCGTCACTGTGTGTATGCTGTTTTGCTGGCGCCGAAGATGGCACAAATTTGTTGTTTACTATGCAGCAAGGAAAATAGTGATTCATATAATAAGTTATTTTCAAGTAAATAAACCTATGTTTTTAAGCAAGCCCCTACTGCTGTTAGCTAGCATTTCAAAAAACATGCGCCAACGCTCAGCTGGAGATTCGTCGTCCAAAAAGAAAAAGTTTAATGTAAACGTTCTGAAAATGATTTCTGTCCAAGAAGAAATGTTAATTATAAAAAAAACTGTTTTACCATATTCTAAATAATTTTTACCCGATTTTTCGAAATTTGGCTAAGTCATTTATAATGATAATGCGTTTACTAGATCAAAATTGCAACATCGGTGCCCTCCCGGGAAGTATCTTAACAAATAGTTTTGTCTAAGGGTAGTACGCCACTGTTTTTATTTTGCAATTTTTTTTATTTATTACACACAGTACTCGTAAAAATTGGCAAAACGTATTTTGATAAACATTTATTTTTTGGACCATTTGATAAACTAGTTCTAGAAAAACCTTACTTAACTTTAACTATGTTTTCATAACATTTTGCTGACTTTGTGTATGGTATGGATAAAATTTTGCTTATATCACTCGTCCAAATTTTTTTTATTGAAACTTTGATCGCTATTTGTTATAGCTATTAGAACATATAGTGGCGCTACTACAAGCCCTTTACATTTCGTCCCCTAACCTGCATTTTCATCCATTTTCTTTCTCAACAGCGATTTCCACACACTGAAGTCGTTTTCCCAGAACAGACTAGCAAGTCCCGGAACCGAAAAGGTGTTCGGGACCTTATCATAGTTCCCGTATTAGTCCCGAAAGTCCAAAAATTGACCCCGAAACTTAAGAGATATTTTAATTAAAGAGATATTTTAATTAAAAATTTTACCATAAAAACACTCGGCACATTGGAGCTTTACAAATTCGCAGCAAAAATTTTAGTCTTTTTTTTTTTGTTACCTAGTTTTTGATTATAACTTGCCTAAAGTACTTTGACGAGCATAAGCCATTTAACCATCGTGCCCAAACTGGACACAATATGGTACCAACAAAATTTTAGCTCTGGAACACTAGTAAGTTCGCAAATTTTGTTCAGCACAATGAATAATACAAGTATAAAACTTTACGAGTAATCGGTGGTTCCTCTAAACCGATTTAGGAGTCCAGTATACGCGTTACAAGTTACGTCATTGTTTTGTTTTGTCACAGGGCCGACACAATTTGACGTTGCCAGCTTGTTATAAGCGAAATTTCTGGTCTTTTACGGTCCTTGTACTGTAAACGCTAATCTAGGCATATTTTGAGAAAATACTGCCGGACAAATGCCGCATCAAAACTTATTGACGACCTGTCAGCGGCCATGTTGGTCGTTGAATGTCGCAAGGTCATTGGTTATAACGAGATTTCAAATCTTGCGCATGTTGAATTGGCCTTCAAAAATTTTTTTCTACTCCCGTCTATAAAATTCCTAATTACACACTGATCTAATGTGCGGACAGCGTCACTTTACCACGTCAGATTCGTTTCCCACCGATCCGTGCCACTTCGGACATTTCCGGGATTTTACCGCACCGATTTGAGAGCAATCGGATGTTTTCGGAGATATTTCCCGCGCCTTGAATTTTGATGTTAGTCAATTCTGACGAAAATGTAACCAAAAACGAACGGTCGTAGAAAAAGTATAGTATTCAACACGTTTGGTAAACTCGGTCAAATGCCGTTTACCGCACTTGTTGGATAATATACTATTTCCTGTATTATCGACGTAGGTGGGACCTCTATATCTCTAGTATCTATATGATATTTATGTATCATTTAACAGGCAGCTTAGTCTTCTCCTCCTACTGATCCTAATTACATAAGTTGATGTTAAAATCCTAGAACGTTGTAGAACTACGTTCCCAGATGTACTTTGCAATCGTTGGGTTGAGTGAGGGGAATATCCAAACAATACAATTAAAGCAAACAGTAATTTATTAAAGTGTGATACCACTAAGTTCGAATCGTAGTTAAAGATACAACGCCAATGTTTACATCGCCATCACTAGGTGACCCCTTTCAGAGTCCGTCACTCGTTTCATTCATAAATTACGTCGTGATAATAGGTGACAATAACGCGCCAAGCAAATTCGTAAAGTGTTTCTTATCGTTGTATTTTATCGCCTTACAGCAATTAAACAATTTTATTGAATTTTTACGGACAATTCTGCGCACTTTCTCGAGGTGTTAATGTATCCCCCATCAAAGTGCAACATACAAAGTTTTGTTTTTTTTTTTTACTGCTTGTCTTGGTCGAGACTGTGAGGAATTAAATATATTTTGGTTAGTTTCACTTACCGTTTTCTTTTCTCAGTCGCGATTATACAAGGACTCTGATTAAGTTCCCCAAAGATTTTTTAAGGAAATAACGTATCATAATCATCTTCTACAATTTAAAAAAGCAAATACGCACGCTTCTATTTCAAGTACATGTTTTTCCTTGCTTGTTATCAATCAATCAAACCTAAGAATTGAATTAAATTTTTTTTTTGTTTCCGGGAAGAAAGATTATGTTGTTACGTACGTATGTCTTATTCGTTATTTCATTTCATCTTTAATCCTCTTTTCCGGTGTTTCTACGTTGGTTTTGATTTTTGTTTCTTGAAAACAGTTTTTCTTCACATTGTGTAGGTTATAAATCGACTCTTTTACGGGGTGTCCAGATTATTCGCAAAAGATGTTATTTTACCATTTTGACTTATTTCTCTGAAATAATTATACAAAATTAGGCATCCGCTTTATAATTTTTTTAGGATTAGGAGCGAGAAGGAGAAATAAAAAATATCAACAGTTCAAAGCATAAGGTTTTTAATTATTTTAAATCTTACGAGGAACAAAAAAAACCAATCTAAATGACAATAAACTACGAATGATAGTTTGAATAAGTACAAAATAACGATTTATTTTTATTTGTCATATATATATTTATATATAGTAATATGACTACGCTATAAGATATTACGCGAGTCGCCATATTCGCATGCTACGTATACGTTGCATTATTAGTAGCAAGCACTCTAGCAGATGGTCGCCAAGCTTACAGAGAATTGCCCTGTTGTGCATAATTCCAACGCAACAAGTGTGGGCCAAGAGCGGGTTATATGTATATAATCTATTCGGACCGTCCATTCGTAATAAACTATATAAGGGTTTGGTTAACAGCGAGGTCATTCGGCAGGTACAAATCGAGAATCGTTTTTATTTATTGAGCGAAACGGGCAAAAAAAATGTCTAAAGTGTAACGTTTCTTATACCAACCTATCACATTAGTTTCTGTTTTTTTTTTAGTTTCGTGTTTTTTTTCCTTTTTTTATTTTTTTTTTCTGTTTATATAAGTATATTTTCTGGGTTTTTTTCGTAGGTATTGTATCAAAAGTATAAAATACTGTAAAAACATTATGAACACAACAATTCTCTCTATCTCTCACGACTTACGTTTTATAACACTTCTTAATTGTTAAAAAATAGAAAATGTCCATTACCTTAACGAACTCACGCATCGACACATTGAGCAAAGGAGTTTTGCATCGTTTTGGCACCTTAAAAAACAACTCCCCGCGTCTAGGGGGGCGCCAATGTGTGGATCGTATTAACATAATTGCAAGCGCCATCTCGCGTCTTTCGCTTAAATCTGTCTTATATACAACATTTTTACACTCGTATATGGCATATATTAGCAAAAACGAAAAAACACAAACTGCGGAATTATCCGACAAAACGTTATATATACACGTGAGTCAAAAACTTTGCATTGATATACAAAAAAAAAAACAATATTTGGTACTCCTATTTTAATAAACGCAATTTTTCTAAACAAGTTTTATGTACACTCAGAACCGAATTAAATCGGTACATTTTTTTTATTTAAACAAAAGTAAACCTAAAAAATTCACACTTTAAACGATTACAGGTTTGAATTCCGACTAATAAAAAAAAAGAAACAACGCATACAAATTATTCTAAGGAAATGAACATACCACAAAAAAATTATCGCTTCGATTTGGTTGCAAGAAAAAAAAACAATTGAAAACGAGAAGAAAAAGCAAAATTCATGTGTAATCCATCCGATATTATCACATTCGCCTATGTCATTTCATCACATATAATTCTTTTCTTAAAATAACCAAAGTTTAAAATAAAAACGTTTCTATATAACACATTGTGTACCAATAAAAGGGCCTTAATTCCTAAGTGAAAAAAAACTAACACAAGAAAAAAACGAAAAAATTCTTTCCCCAACAAATTCGGTTACATTTTTTAATATAAATCACAGTTAACAGAACAATGTATTAATTGGATATCTAAATATTTATTTGATTTTAGTACCCGCGAGTGGGTGAAGTGTAAAAAAATCCTTTGAAGGCAGCAAACGAGACGTGTGGGTTACGTTTATCAGTGCCCTCAAATCATTATCGTCGAGTATTTTGTCGGAATGCTCAAAACGGGGACAATTTTGTGTACTGATGCGCGCTGTAAAATTTTTAGGGTTTTTGTAAATGTCAAATTTTGACATGTCGATGATCTTTTTCTAAATGGGCGCGCCCTTTGTTAAAAAGTTTCATATTTTTTTATGTAATATAATATCAACATACAAAAGGTAAAAGTTTCAGTGAGTTGTGCAATTTATGATCGGTCACCTTTGCTTTACACCGTCCTATACCTTTCTAATGTAACGTGTAGTGGAAATTTGAAATAAAACTTATATTGATTATTGTATTTAAAAATTCCATTAATATTTCACATTTACTAAAAAAATGCATTTTTACCAAAACGTCCATAAGTAAACACGAAATTTTCTACACATTTTGCGCAACTGAATTAAATTAACCAGAGTAAGTAAAACTTTTAGAATGGTATTACGGAAAATGAATTACGTTTCCATTTCTTTTTGTCTTTTTGTACTTTGCACGCGTGAAGTAGCGAATTCCATATCACGGCAAGCAATATCTAAACGTAAATTTAAAAAAAATCCTTAACCACTCAAAATTAAGATCGCAAATTTGTTTTAGTTAATGTCTTCCCCGCAAAACTCACGACGATGTTTTCGATACTTCCATCACCATTCCAACAAAATATCAAATAATACGGTGCGGCCTCTTTATTCCGACTTACACTTAGCGATATCAAAATGGTAATAACCGGTTAGTGAGGTTGCACCGTAGTAATAATAATTGATCTTCAAAAATTCGGAAGGCGTTTAGACCTTCCCCAACGTGCTTCGCTATACAAAACCAACCAACCCGAAAATTATCGAAAACGTATTTAAAAAACGAACCAACTTTATCGTTTGGCGGCCAAATTCCGCCTCAGCTGAGACACCCGCGACCTGAGCCACTCCTGCCGCCTCTTCAGCTCGTCGATCTGTCGCGTGCAACTCTGAGACGTTCGCGTCAGACCGTCGCAGTACTGAGCGGCCTCCTTCAAAATCACCACCTTGGCGGCGCGATCTTTCTTGCACACCTCCGGCACCAACACCCTGAGGTCTTCAAACGCGTTGCGCAAATCGATCCTGCGTTGACGTTCCATGTTGTTGTGCAAATTCCGTTTCTCGGACGGCTCCTGCTCGCTGTCGCTGTTGCTGTAGCTTTTCCGTTTGTAGGCGCCGCCGCCATTCTTGGTGCCGTAACGACCTCGTTTAATACCGCGGGTACCGCCCCCGCCGTCCGACGCTTTCCTTTTCGCTACTGGTTCCGACGCGTATGGTTTCCTCACCGGCAGGATGGTTTTGATGCTGCCGCCATTGTTATTTATTTTCTTTTTCGAAATGGCCGTCGCGACCCTCCTTTGCAATTGCTGACGGTCCTTGTTGGACGGATTCGTCGGCAACGAGAACACCATGCGGCTGTTGGACAGCAGCTTGTCCGGTACCGAGACCACGTCGATTTCCTCCTCTGCAAGAAAACGGGAAGAATGACGTAAAAGATAATAAAAAACATTAAAGATTAAATTAGACAATAATGTGCGATCCCGCGCCTTCGCTATTATCCGGTGAATAATTGCCCTGTGATGTAATAATCGTCTCGCCTTCAAACGTCAATATAAATACCCGCGACGCGTATTCCGGATTTTATTAGCCCGCGAATAAATCGACGATAAAAATAGTTTACGCCGCAACAGTTGGCAACGTGGACTGAAACGTCAGTATTTCGAAAGCCGGTTTCAATTGTCGTTTTATTTACCACCCGAATCGATCTTCCGGTGTCTGTTTGATTCTTTCTGATATTTTACATTATCTAAAAATAACCCCATAACCTGATCACAAGTTACTAGCAGAAATAAATAATAAATGACACAGAAATCGTTGTTCATTAAAATTTTGCAAACAGTTAATTTGTTAACTCCAATGTTGAATACCTCTAACCATTTAGCCACTAGATATTACAATTGTGGTCGGTAACGAATACCCCAAAAAGCTCTAGATTAAACTCGTGAAAATAATGAGAATGAGAATGAGTCAAATATATCGCTCATTGAGACATAGGGTAACTGATTGTTGCGCCCATCTCCTTCCACGGTATTCTGTTTTGTGCCTTCTGCTTCCTGTTTCCCGCCGTTTTCCTCATCTCATCTCCCATCCTTTTGGGATTTCTCTTATTTTCTCCATTGTATCAATCTTTTGGTCCATGACCGGCCCATCTCCATTTGCCTTACCTAATTTTTTGTGAGATATCTGTTATATTAGTTCGTTGTCTCACTAGCCTGTTTGGTACCATGTCACTTCATGTAATTCCCAGCAATCCTCGTTCCATTGTTCTTTGTTTTACTCTTAACTTAGTCAACGTAAGCGTTTCCGAGTCATATGTGATCATTGGCAAAATGCATTGGTTTTAGAACTTTCTGTTTTTGATGACATAGCCCATTGTTTCCGAAGAATCAGTCTACAATTGACAAAAAAAGATCATCAAAACCAAACGAAACGCGAGTAAACCGATTTTGTCAATGGAACCGGTTTTTAGTCACCGATTTTGCAGTATTAGAATGCAAATGTCTTTTTTAGTTAAAAGTGATAAATTTTTTTATAATCTTCACAAGAATTTAATTATAGGGTATAACTAATAAGCTATCAGCTAATGCGTATTCGTTATCTCGAAAAACTTCCAAATCCGAGTTTTCATACTGCCTGAGCCATAGAGAAATGACAATTTCGAGATTATTGCGACTAATAAGCGACGTTCTACTAAGTTATATTTGGCTCAATATCATTATTTTCATTACAGACCACCTTGTATAAAGTTTACCTATGCTGATAATGTCAAGCACATTTGAAGCCAATATCAAAAAATCAAAACTAGTAGTTCTCGTTAATTATTCAGTGAAAAAACACTTTTACGTCCCCCACCACGTAACCTAATATTATCTTCAATATTTGTTTGAATCACTTTCGCGAAAAAAATACTTCAAATCTCGACGTCGCAGATACACGTCTCAAACGACATTCTCCACGCTGTCCTTGTCATGCTTATAGATGAAATTTTTCATTCAGTGATGAGAGATGAATCAATCGTTCTCGTGCAAATAACTTTCCAGGTTCAAGCCCTGTTAGATTGATTAAAATTTTAGATTGAAATCGGAAGGGTGTAAGCTGCAGATGTGTTTTTTTACGTAAAATCGAAGCAAACGGATGTTAATTTTTTTTAATGAAACACTGTATTTTGTAACATCTCCATCTTTTTAAAAAAGTTTTTGAATTATTGACGCGTAAAATATAAAATTTTAATTTTTCTTTAAAAAGGCTATACAGGAGAAATAAAAATAGAAACTGATAATAACATTAATATGGTCAATTCCAGATTACTTCTCATATAAATCCGATAGAATTCGGACACAAATTTAAATTTTACATTTTAAACCTCAATGGTGCCAGAAACTAAATGTTCAGGAGGTCTTCCCGTACACTTTTTAAAAATTCATATACAAGCAAAGAAAAACGTCTTCCTGAAAACCCGTTTCCACATTCCAAATTTAATGGCCACTTCTTGTATTTCGCACAGTACCACCCGATCTCCCGATTCGGGTTTAAAAATTTAATTAGCCCGAAAAACAGAACCGATAGGAATGCCGCCGTTGTCGACGGACGACGACCGTCTTCGTGGAAGATGGACCTACGGAGAGGTCGCTCCTCTTTCGTTCGATCGCCTTTCACATTCCGCGCTCTCAATCGGCCGACCCCGTAACGGAGTTTCGACTGGATTTTCGCCCGCAGCCCGACAGTCCTCTGGCAACGTTGCAATTTTTTGTATTCACAAACCGCGCACGTCGGAATTCATGCGATCAAAAAATAGACGAGGAAATATTAGCCGTTTGACAGTAGAAGAGCTATTTGATTGATATCTGACAATTAAAAAAAACTTTTTATTTCGCAGATTTATGTCACTTTCCGTTTGGACACTTTGTTTTCAATATACATTCATTATTATAAAAGGATAATATATCTTTAACGGATTGTTTTTTTTTTTTCATTTCTGCAAACAAGTATCTATTTTCTTCGAAATATTGTTTTGCGGTGTTTTTGTCCTTGCATTTGCACGCTAGTTACAAAGCCGGTAAATCACAACGCAACTCGTTCCTTACATTTGACATTTGTTATTTACTGTTTTATGAAATCGCCGAAGTAAGGTTTTCTTTAAAACGCAAATTTGTGATTGTTTTGAAACAAATATCAGTCCGGTCAGAGCAACTGTGCAATTACGTCAAATCATGACATCTTTATCTACAGTATTTTTTCAGTTTTCTTTTAGTTTCTTCTTTCACTTAAATGTTTTTCAAGTAATATCAAGTAAATATCAGCAATCTCATTAAGAGTAATAAAAATAAAATAAAAATCATTTGAGACACTATCTGCAGGTAGAAACCGTTAATTATCAATACTTTATCAAGCCAGCCTGTATCAAATTTCGCTTAAACAAATGAGTTATACTTGTTTATTTTCGACTCCACTTTTAAGTCAGTGGTTTTGAAGTAAAAGCAAAATGAATTCGAAAAATCATAGCAGATTTATGGAAAGAGAAAAAACACTTTAGAGATATTGGTAAAATAATTAAAAAAATTACATTCAACTGTACAGTATGTAATAAATCAATACAAATTCCCCGGATCTTATAAAGTGAGGCCACGCTCTGGTCGTCCCAGGAAGTTAACTGCACGAGAAGAGTCTTCTAAAACGAGCGCTCCAAAACTTGCAGAAAAAACGATTAGAAACTTCTTGCAAGTTATAACGGCCGCGTTGCCAGAAAGAAACCATTGATTTCGGAAAAAAAAATCGAAAAAAACGTTTGGAATTTGCCCGAGAATATATTAACAAAACCAAGGAGTTTTGGATAAACGTTATCTTTAGTCAGATGGTCGAGATAAAGACTTAATGCCTTTATTAAGGCAAATGGTAATTGTACAAAATATTAGACTAAGAAACTTTTCAATTTATCATAAGAAATAATAGTGTACAGCGACTTATTTGACATACTTCTAGACTTCTAAAACTGCCTTATTTTTTATCGTTTAAATAAAATGTTTCAAATGATTTTTATTACTCTTAATGAGATTGCAGATATTTACTTGAAATACATTTCTCATTAAATGTAAGTGAAAGAAGAAACTAAAAGACAAAAATGAAAAAATACTATGTGCATGGAGACTTTTTTGACCGACTGTAGTTCATTGCTGGATGTCATAAATTGACACACGAATTTTGTTTCAGTTTTGAAATCCGCATCTAAAAATGGTTGCAATATAGCTAAGGTCATTTCTGATAACGTAACGTTATTGCACAATTTGCTCTGGCTGGAGCATATTATTGTTACCCTTGCTCTGACTGGAGCATATTATTGTTACCCTCCAATTTAGTCTTTTCACCGATCAAAAATTCGTTTCTTCAGCTACTGAATTATTAGCGGCAAAAGTTGATTGAACTTTGCTTCCCATTGAATATTGATGCGGGGTTTCCCCGTTTCCGTGCCCGTTAAATAAGTAATCACGGCTGAAAAAAAACAACGACTTCGCTTTCCCTTGCCTTGCGTGAGTTCAACACCGGTTTTAATTTTAAAGTTGCTTTTTTTGTATGGTGATTTGCGATAATTGGGAAATGCGGTCGCTCTTATTTTCGTTTCAAATTGCGGCTCTTCGTGTTATTTCTGCGCTCAAATTTTTCAAATTTAGTACTGCCTTGACATTGTGTGATGTCATTTTCGGTACTTCGATCACGGTTTGGGAGGGATCGGATGTTTTCAGTAGATTTTAGCCACCAAGAATTTGTTGAATTGTATTTTTTTTCTGACTGTCTTAGAAAAAGTGTAGTATGTAACACGTTGATAAACTGCTTCAGTCGCCCGTTATTAATAACTTGTGACTAAGACGGTTATAGGTCATGCGATGGCACCTAAAAATGTTTCCCATATGTAGGGAACAATAAAGATAGGTACACCGTGTGCCAAATAAAACAATCCACGTACAAAAGTTTCTTAGACTCTCCTGAAGGTTTAAAATATTATAACTTTGTTGATACAAGGTGTCCCAAAAGTCCCCCCCCCCCCCGACAACAACTTTGTTCTTTTAAATAGAACACCCTGTATTTTTCGACATTTTTGAAAACCTTGGTAAAAATACTTTTCACTTTCTTGCATGGTTTAGGCAGAACTTGAGGCTGTTTTTTTTTTTCATATTTTGCTTGCCCCATATAAAATTGTATCGTTACACTACTGATCCAGGAATTGCAAAGAAAATTTAACCACAGACTAAGAAGATGATGCACTACCCAATCAGTTTGACTCTCAGGTTATACAGCGTGTCCCAAATCGGTGGTGCCTTTTTGCGGAATTTAATTAACAAAATCTCAAGATTTTCATATTTTTATTGAGATATCAATTCTAGGACAAACAATTAGGTAAGTTTGTAATTT